CAAAACCACTAATAACCATATAAATTTTAATTCTGCAAAACTCTAATTAAATTAGAATTTAAGAGGTTTGTCACCTACCTATCAAAGTGCAGCTAAGGGAAAGGCCTGGGAGTGTTTCACTAGGTCAAAGCCAATTATTCCAGATTTTTTTCTTACTGTTGCAGCGGCGTTATTTTAGTCTTTTGACTGGGTACGATTGTCTGAATGAATGCCCATCTTTTTTAAAGTAAGGACTCTTCAGTCTGTACTCTCTGTAACTTTGGACAGTCCATTGATAAGGAGCATATTGACAAATGTACTGCACTATTATCTTTTAATTCTATTATTCTTAAGTATTGGGAAGCACGATCAAGTCTAATGGCATAGTGGCCAAATGCTTGGCATTTGTATAAATAAACAAACATTTCTTGGAAATTGAGTCTCGCATATATTTTTTGGAGAATTATTTTTAAGTCATATTGAGTATTTGCACATAATTACTGTTTTGTTCTTACTGTTTGTTGTTTAATTACTTTAATAATGCGTCAAGTCATAACTGTCATTATAAATTAAATAATTTATGAAATAAATCATAGAAAAACTAATCATCGGTTATTCATTTAAATCTGCTTACATGTTCTATTACTACCTGTTATCAGTATGATTAATGTCATGATGAAGGTAGTAGGTATTGTTTTAGAAATTACTGTAAATGCAGAAGTAAATTATGCATCAAATTATAAAAATATTGGGTGTTTATTTTTACATATGCACAGAAGCACACATGCAGAAATACCCGCATATATAAATTGAATATGAATATGTGAATTTTATTTATTTTATTGAAATTTTTGAAAATTTTGTTATGTGTATTTCCTGTTAGAGGTTAGGCCACCTTTTATAATGTTATTCCGATTTATTATTGTCTTTTACCTCTCTATCTATCTATATACATAAAAGACTGATTTCAAGAGGAATATATGTCTTGATTGGTTATCATATCTGAGGGAAATGGTGTAGGGGATTATTTATTATGTCATTATATTAAAAGTGAAAATATACTGTAGTTAAAAGTTTGAAACCTGTATTTTTTGTAAGAGAAGTTAAAATTTATTTAAACAGTGGTGTAATAATTAAAAAATAAACAAAGAATAAATTAAATTGTCCTGTGTAATGCTTCAAACAGAACTTGTCAAAGGAAACATCTTGAGGCCAGGCAGCGACAGGTAGCCAACCCATGTATTAAGTTCTTGTAAACTTTGATTTAAAATATCATGCGTATCATTTTATTTGTTTCTATGATGTAATGAGTACTCACCTCTATTATAGAAGCTGTTTAGAATGGTGTCCATTTACTCGCAAGCATTGCTGGCGTCGTTTCAGGAAATTAGCATTCACATGGGGCAGACACAAAAAATAGTCACACACACTCAGATCTGGTCAATATTTACATTTATAAAAGATTAAATCGCCAAACAACTCTCTTGTAGCATGCAAAGAAGTGCCAACAATATGGGCTACAACAGAATTTTGTTTAGTGTGCATATTGTCTCTCATGATCAGACAGTTGTTCAAAAAATGGTGCGAGTATTTCTGTATGATATCTCTCTGAATTTACAGTGTCAGGAAAAAATATGGGTCCTATTATTCACCTTGCAATTACAGCACTATACCCCGATTTTTTTAACATGCAAAGAAGCTCATGAATTAGTCGGAGATTTTCTGTACTCCAACGCCTATAGTTTTGTGAACACACATAACCTTGTAAATTAAATCAAGCTTTGTCCAAGAAAGTTATTAAATTGGTACCAACAATAATATCAGCAATATTCTGCAAAATCCAAGTGTAAAAATTGACACTATATAGATCATCTCACGATCTTACTTCTTGAATTACACACACCATGCAGGGTTTCAAATGTAATACTTTAATAGCTGTGTAGGCCGAGGCAGTTAATATTTAATGGCAGTCAAAACTGGTGCATGGTTATTGATAATCCAGTTGTATTTCTGTTCCTTACTAGCAAAATTTGTAATGAGGTTGAGAATCCCTTTCAGCTTTTCAGAAACTTAAAGTCACTGTCTTTTACAAGGTTCTTAGTGCCACTGGCGATGAATCTGAACTTTATCCATGTCTTGTGAAATTTAGGAAGTGCTCATAGGTTTGAAAACATGTTGAAAATGAAATTTTAAGGCTATGGTATTATGCTGTTATTTTATTCTTGAGGACAGTTAAACTTGAATTTTATTTTATTTTTTTTATAAGTAATAGCATTTTGAAATTCTTTTTCAATAATGTTGTGATAAAGGACTTTTCAAATAATACTGAGGTTATTACTGGTGTTGTCTATTTTGGTGATGATGAATTTTTGTCACGGTAGATTATTTTTACTAGAAACTACTACTTACTATTTTACTAGACTTTTACTAGTTTGCTGGTAGGGGAGATGTTATGTTTGGAGTTGCTAAAAATCACTACTTTCCATTCTAAAATGCCATAGTGGGCAAATTAATTTTGTAGCTGGTAGAAACTATAAATGTGTTCAAGTTATTTTCGAAGTTGTTGAGACAGAACTTTTTGCGAACTTTAAAAACTGGTCGAAATTTGGTTCTAAGTTGCATTAATTGTCTTAAAGTTGGGTCTTCCTACTGTTGGCTAAGTAATTTCTTCACTGAGTTTCAGTACTTCACTGAAAAAAGCAATCTTGTAACTCAATGCTGATTTTCTGTTAATCGATATATTTACTCATTCAGGCTCAGATGTGCTTCATACTACAATCAATTTGTAGTTTAGATAAAATGTTCTTAACAAAAAACCTTACACAATTATTATTTCCATTACACTACACGTTATTAAAGTATTCAATAATTACATAGTTTGCAAATTATTAATTTTGTCACTATGCAAATATAATTATGTAGATTAGTTCTCTGCTTTATCTTAGCTATTTCTGATTATTTATATTAAAGCCTGAGTGCTTAAAATTGTAAGAACAAAGTAATTTTGAATTTTGCATTTTCAGAGAAAATATAAAAATGTATTTCATTTTCTCAGAGCCAAGCCACATAAATTAAAAGTGTGCAAGGACTTTCTGGCAGTTGAAAAGGCTGGTTGTGTATCTTTATTTTGATTGATTTTTCTCATATGTAGCATTAATGCAAGCTGCTTTCTTTGAGTTCCTTAGTGAAGTCATCTTTCCTCACGGGTAAAAATAGCCAGAGTCTGCTTTATCATAGCCAAGTTATACAATTTAAAATCTTGCTGCTCTCAGTTGAGATTATCTGAATCATACAGCAGTTTTTTTTTTTTTTTTTCTATTTTGGGAGGTTGTTGTTATGAATTCTAGTTTATAAATTTAAAATGGCTTAGCTTAGACTTAAAAAAAAAAAAAAAAAAAAAAAAAAAAAAAAAACGAACCTTAGATTTGACTATGAATTTTCCTTTTTTTTTTTTTTTTTGTTGCACCTAATTTTTTTATGTCCCCAAGAGTAGTTAGTGATATTCATTGAAAGCAGGCTGGTTTTCTTCAACCAAAAATCCAATTGCCATCATCTTTCACTTAAATGGAGTGACAGAATACTGTTCTAAAATGCAAATAAATGAGTGGAAATATTAAAAGAAAATTTGATTTTATTTCTGCATTTTTTTTATATGCATCTGTGCTTTATTATTAGATTTGTTATAGAAGTGCAAAGGTAATGAAATCTTTCTGTCTGATCTATTTATTTTAAAAAAGTGTTATATGTTTATATCAATGTTCCAAAAGTTTATATCAATGTTGCAGAACTGCTAATTTATTTATTCATTTGTTTGTTTATAGTACTTTTTAAAAGTTAGAAATATGCTAACATTCAGCCTTGTTCCTATTTTAATAAAATTCCTTTGGGTTTCATAATTAGCTAAGTGTGATTTATACATTCTTAAACATTATGAATGATATCCAGGATGAAACAGTGTTTAGTAGTTAACAGGGGTCTGTTTTTTCCCCTCTTCAGCTGTTTTTTAAACTAGGAGACCTTTGTTAAATTAAAAATGAAAAACTGTGTGAAGCTTTTAGTTTTTATTTTCTTCACGCCAAATGCTGTATTAAAATCAAAGTACAATTAAAGCAAAATAATTATCTAAAGAATGTGATGAAATAAAAAACTGCAAGGTGTGATTTGCTGCTTAAATAAGTGATAAATTATCACTGATAAATTACTTAACTGTGTGATACTTAAACTCTACTGATAAATTAATTAATCAGTAGTGGCATATTACTTAACTAAATATTGCAATTCAATTTTTGAAGCAGGTTTGATAATCTAAATATATTTTTGGAGTGTTGTATTGAATTAGTACAACTAACTGAACTCCTTCAGTGTTTGAAATGACAAAGTCTTGAACAGTAAATGAAAGTAATGTCTCTTCAAGAGAGATAAGCAATAATTAGCAATTCTTTGCTTGGGTAAATAATGTAAGAAAATAATGTCTCTTCAAGAGAGATAAGCAATAATTAGCAATTCTTTGCTTGGGTAAATAATGTAAGAAAATAATGTCTCTTCAAGAGAGATAAGCAATAATCAGCAATTCTTTGTTTGGGTGGAATATTAATTTGATTAACATTTTCTTGTCCTTTGCTTATGGTAATGCAGAATAAACTTTACTGGTTTCAAGTACAACATACTCTCATTAATTTAAAATTTTATATATCCGTAGAAAAGTAAAGTTAGAAAAGAGTTAAAATAAAAAAAATATTTTAGGAGTATTTAAAATTTTTTTAATAGTTTTGCTACTCTCTGATTTGAATTGACGACAGTCTACTATGTGTAGTGCAGTTTTGGAAGTGGTGTACTGGGAAACAAATTCATTTCATAAGTAAGAGTCGTAAGATATATTTTAAATATTTAAGAAATGAAGTATAAATTGTAATTTGTATTGTGCATGCCAATGAAAAGATTTAAAATTATTCTGTAAACTGCATTTTGTTTATTTAATAAACATGCTGTGCTTATATATATATATTATTATTTTTTTAAAGATACTATGAGCCTTTGGTCTGAAGATGAGTGTAAAAGTTTTGAGACTGGTCTGAAATCATATGGAAAAGACTTCCATTTAATTCAGCAGAATAAGGTAATTTTTTACATTTAAATCAAGGGAAATTTATGTAGAATTCTTTTTTCTTACAGTAGTTTAGTATATTTTGCATAGTTAGAATGACTTGAATTAATTGTTTTTGAGATTTATGGAGAAATAGTACGTATCTTAACTAAGTTTGCATCCAGTTTTTTCTTTAATAAGTAAAAGAAAAAGAGCCACATTTTTATAAGCTCTTTTTTTTAAATAATTACCATTTTTGAATCCAGTGCTTCCGATTTCGATTTATCTTTAGAACAAGCTGAAGTAGTTAACTATTGTCATATAATAATGATTTAATAAATACATGTGGTATTTCATCCTGGACATCATAGTTTCCTTTAAGTTCTTCCAGAGAAGTAGCTCTTTCAATACAGGTTAATTTCTTAACGAATTCAAGCTTATCAGTGGCTGAGTGTATAAGATCACCAAACACTGGTAGTTCAACCCAGGTTCAAAGCTCGGTGAATGGGCTGGCTACATATATATTTCTGAAGTTTTCCTCATGTGTAATATAGATATGCTGGTGTGGGGACTTTTTCTTACAACTGTAAGAAATGCTTTTAGATAGGTAAAAAAACCTAGGCCTCTTGCATTTATAAATGTGGATTTTACAAACTAAATTTCCATTAGTTTGCCAGAAAGCTAATACAAAATATTAAAAAAGAAAGAAATAAAGCTTTAAAATTTTGTTTTTTAACTAAAACATGGATTTTGACCTGTGGACATTACGTAAATCTGAATTGTATTTATATTTTATCATGCGTATGTTCTGATTCATTTCACCATACCAATTTTCCAGTCTGGGACAAGTTTTCCATTTTCACCATTCAAATACTCGATTTGTGACAGTATTTTTTACTATTTTTGAAGCCTAGTGAAAATTTCTGAGCTTGAGATTTCATCACAGAGTAAAATCTTCATGATTATCTTTTCTGTGATCTGGCCATTTCATGTTAACCTACTGTTCTTAGAGTTATCCAGGGTCCTATAAGTACAGTCCTAGAAGTTTTATAGAAATAACTTTTAGTTTTTAAAACTCCATAATTTAACCAAAATTTTCAAAAGATCCTTGATTTTACTTGTCTTACAAACTGTATAACAGGCTTTAGTTTTATTTATTAATTTATCAATGTCAAGCTAATTGGAAGTACATTGTATGGAAAGCAAATTAACTTTTATAATAGTTGCTAATGTAAAACATCTTTTTGACAGTAGTATTAAATTTTATACTCTCTACTTCTCTTGTCACTTAGAAATGCAAATGCAAACATTAACTGTTAGATAAATAATGCACTCAAATTAATAGCACATGAAAAATATAGTGTTCATTATCAATAATAAAAGTTCATTTACCTTTGGTGTTATTTCACACTGAAGAATTCTCTGATTTTTTTAAAATTTTGCTTGCATAGGGTTTTTGTTTGGATGTGAGCTAACTGCTCACTACCCAACAACCACTGAATTATCCTGATAGATCTCATAAATGAATAGCAACAGACAATTGTATGTTTCATGTTTTTATGCAACACTAGTTTTTTTTTTTTGACAACATTGTAAATATTGGTGCTGCATAAAAATAATTTTTTATAGACATAGCCTTTGGCTATCTCTTTTGCATACATTTCATATTCATAAAAAATATAAAATGTGAAAAAATAAAAGCATACCAAGGCATCACACTTGTGCTTTATGAATTAAATCAGTCTGTGTCTATTGTTATGAACCTTCATTAGAATTAAGAAATTCATTAATCTGTGGATTGTGTAGCACATAAATCACTGTAAATTCTCAAGTTTTAATAGCTCTATACTTTCTGAGGCTGAATGAAACCTGTGCTTATCATACTTGCATCCTTCTTAGAAGAACTTTGTCTTTATTTGTAATATCTTTTATTTTTTGGTGAATCTCTTGTTGCTGAATTCACACAGAGACTCTAAATTTATGTGCTTTGTTCTTTCTTACCATAGGTTCATTTCTTGCCTGAGGCTGTCCTTAAAAGTAGTAATTTGCCTCAGAGGGAATTTTTGTTTCAAGCAACATAATAATGAACATCAGAATGAATTGCTTTACAAACAATTTCATTATTACTGATATAGATATTGGCATCTAACATTCATTTTTAATATAGTCATTCCTTTGTCTGTGACTTCACCTTGAGAGAAAATACATTGCTTTAGATTCAAAACATAGAGTTCATCATATATCTCACCATTTTTTTCATTCACATTTTATCAGTTTTAAAATTTTTACATTATCCTTTCCTGTAGAAGAAGCTGAAGGTTGTTGCTGAGTTGAATATTTTCATGTCTGTCAACTAGTTTGAAGTATGATTACTAGTATGATACTAGTTTGTAGATTACTAGAAATATTATTACTAGTATGATACTAGATACTAGTTTGACTAGTTTGAAGTATGATACTAGATACTAGTTTGACTAGTTTGATACTAGTTTGAAGTATGAACTTCAATTATGAGTTGTGTGAAGGTGCACACTCCTAATCCTGATTGTATACTGATCATATAACCCTGATTGCCTTGATTGTATTTTTAGTGCTTCCCATACTTCAGTATTAAATGCATTATACTTATACAGATTGCACGTATTTCTTGGTTTTAAAGTTGAGTTCTCTTTTCCTTTCACTTTGTTTGCAAAAATAATCATTTGTAGAATTTTTTTTTTTTTTTTTATAATAGGGATAACATACCACATTTTCACTATTTCTATTCTGGCTATTAGGTTTTGCCTTATGCAAAGTCTGTCATTTGCCTTTTTATTTGCTGGTGATGTCAGGAATGGACTCTTGTTCACTTTGACTGAGAGGTGCTTCTTCATTGATAAGCCTTGCTATCGAATTTGATAAATTTTGTGACAGCCAACCCTGTCTGAAAACCCTATATTTTAATATTAAAATTCCTGAAATATTTGTCATGATTGTAGCATTTTTTAAATATTTTCACATGTACATTTGGTCTGATTGGCTTGATGATGTGTTGCACAATATTTTCATTATTGTTAATTCAGAGTTGATGGAATTCGTGTAACATTCAATCAACATCATTAACAAAACTGAATTTTGTGCAAATCCAGTTTTTTATTTGGAAATTGAATCTAATTTTCCCATCATATCTTTAGAGGATCTAGCTTAATTTTCACAACTGCAGAAAATTTAATTTTCACAACACAGAACCTAACTGCAGAAAGGGTTTTATAAAATGTTTTTTAAAGTGCATTGTTTGTCTGCATAACCTGTTAACTATTTATTGAACATTAAGTAAATTAAAAAAGGTATGTCAAATAATAAGCATGTATTGCAGGCAGTTGCGCTTAGTTATTCGCAATAGAATATGAACTGATTTAAAAAGTTTTACTGCTAGATAACAGTTACCAGAGTAACTGTTGCTATGATAATAATTAATATAAAGTATCCTTTGACCAAAAAAATTAAACTTGGACTTTTTTTGCTTTTTTTAGATTTGACATAACAAAGTATGACTGCACCTGTATATATGTGTATGTGTGTATGTATACACATATACATGTAAGATAAAAATACGTAAAACAAAATTGTAATTTAAATTTCAGTATCTCCTTAACTCTTCATTTTAATTTGGTTCTCTTTCTATTCCAAAAATAGTAATGTTTATAATAAAGCTCTCTGAACTGCACCATTTTTAGATGAAGCAGGTAATATGAATTATATAATATTTGTAATATTTCGCAAACCAAAACACAAACAGCCAATAGTAATTTTAGAGAGTTATTTATTAGTTAATAAAAAATCAAAAGTAATTCATTCTGAACTAAAATTTCATCTCGAACACATCATGCTTTGTTTCTGCTTCTCCTGCCAATACAATGCTGTTGTGCTGCTTTCTTCTTTTTGCCACAATATCAGAAATGTAATTGTTATGTTATCAAACACACACAATTAATGTGTCAAATTATTTCTGACTGTAAATGGTAGACTAAAGTAAAAGGAATGTTATATCTGCTATGACTATGACTTCCAAGCTTCTTCATTATGGATCAACATCAATGTAATTAATTTGTGCATATTGTTGTCTACAACTTCTCTACATATGTATAAAATTATTACTTAATTAAGTTAAATTAAAACTAAGAATGAGCTAAAAAGTTGAAATTTAATCAAGATATTAAAAATAAGTAAAGTTAGTGGGAACATTTAAGTTAATGTGGACTGAGTTGGAAAAGTAATCATGTAAAAATATAATAAAATACACATTACAAATGTTAAACACAATAAGGGAAACCCGTGTCATCACTGTCAGATTCAAACTTTCTCAAGAGGTGGAAAAATCTAACCTAACACCAATATCACTTATTTTTTTGGCATAGTCTCTTATGTTTCTGTTCATTTCCAAATAGTAGAGGTACAGAACTTAAGTATTTTAAATTATTTGCAATTCTGAAAATTAAAAACACCACTTTTACATAACCAGTTTGCTAAAACAAAAGTAAAGCAACCATAATTATTCGAATAGAAATTCTTTGAATTAAACATTCATTGAGTAAGGGAAGGGGGGAAGGCTAAACTGCCTAAAAAAAAATTCTGTACATGGAAATCTGTTAAGAGTGATCTCCCCAAATGGGATTTTATACAATCTGGAATTAATTTAAATTAAACTTTCATCTAATTCAACTAATTTATATCAAAATAGAAAAAGAATTAATTAAATAAGCCAAGAAAACATGTACTTTCGCCAAGCTGAATATGTTTTTTTTAAGTGATAAATGTTTTTTTAGGAAACAAAAAGTAATTCTGGCAGTTTTAATGTTGTCAAGAAATATTGGTGAAAGAAGTGTCAAATATTTTAGCAAAAAAACTAATTTTGCAAATGGAATAAGTAAATTAAATTTTGGTGAATGCTAGAAAAAAATGAAAAAAAAAAAAAAAGTATGTTAGAACAGAGTAGTCGTCACACATTTTCAGCTTCAAAAGAGACCTTTTCAGAAATTTGAAGTTTTCTATTTTTGTCAAAGTATGGTTCCAAAATTTAAGAGAAATTTACAGACAATTACAAAATTCACATTAATAGTAGATCTATCTCTGTACATACATGTGCACGAATGTACAGATAGATATTTCTTTTAATAATGATTTCCCTCCCCCTGAATAGATACATTTTTTTACCAATTTGCAGCATTATACCCATCCTGAAGTACTAGCATTTTGTATGTGTCTGTGTGAGGATCATGCGGAATCATCCTGAAGAGGTATCCCTACAAAATCTAACTCATAGAGGAACTGAAATAAAATAACTTTGAGAAATATGAATTTGCAAACTGAACTTTTCAAGTGATAGAAAACAATGCAGACTGGCTGTTAGACATACTGTGGACTAATAAAATGTGCTTTGTGCTTAATTGAAGTGTCAAATGCATATAAGAGCAAGGGAGAACTCACATGTGGAGTGTGGAAACTTATGTGCATCAGTCAAAGCTGACAGTGTAATGCAGATTCACCAAGTCATTCATAATCTTTTTCTTTCAGAAAGTCCACAGCATACGGTTCAAATAGATTGTTTCTTCACAGTTGGTAGTTATGTAATACAATTAAGAGACAGCATTATTTCCATGTTGCAAGAGAGGCAAGTGCTCCATGATGAAACTTCATGGAGGCTCAGATCTTGTTGCTCTTTGCTGCTCAGATTCATTTGAGCATGTGCTGCAATGAACATTTGACAATGGCAGTATCCTCCACCACTCTTTATGCCAGTTGTCCAGGTTTCCGAATCTGATATTTTGTGACTTTTAGTTGTGGGTTTGCTTAAAGTCACAGGTGTACAGAGGTCAGCTGATGTTATTGGGCATATGAAGTTATTCTTCATCATGTACTAGAAATTACAGCAAAACCTTTTTGATGCTATGCCAAGTATTATTCCATGTATGTTGGCCATCCACCTGAATGACAGCCATGACACTGAACACTGTAATGCTAGCTACATTATGAATTGTGCTGCATTACTGTATGTACTTCTGACACAACTGAAGTACCACCTGTTAGTGGAAAGTGTAACTATTCTGACAAAAAAAAAATTGTAAAAAAAGTCCTTATCTTTCTGTGCATTTCTATGAAAACTGCTTTGTGGTACTATAATTATTGAATTTTTACTTTGATCATCAGTGTTTTAAGAGTTGGGCACTGTAAATAATGCTTCAAAAGGAATCTGTTATAAAGCACAGTAGGTGGTACATATTGTTGGTTATTGGTATAGAGGATTGGAAGAACTAGGGAGTGAGGTTAAGAGTGGCTGTGAGAGAAAGAGTGGTTATGGGGCATGAGCCAATAAATGATGGTTACCTGGGAGTAAGGATCCTGTAGGATGCACTTGAAGGGGCAACCAGAAATGTCAGTATGCTCATTGAATTTCTGTGCTTAGATTGTACCTTTTACATTGAGAATAAGCCTTTGGTTAGTTTTGTTATTTATTTTATAAAATAATGTTTTTATTTACTTTTTAAGTTATGCTTCCTAAACACACTTGGGCTTAGAATAGGTACTTCAGCTAGTGTTTGTATAATTGATAACTAAGTTATAATGGTATATAAAAAAATTCGTTTTATTTTTATTTTTAAGGTTAGAACTAGGTCAGTCGGAGAACTTGTACAGTTTTATTATTTATGGAAAAAAACAGAAAGGCATGATGTCTTTGCTAGTAGAAATAGAATTGAAAAGAAAAAGTATGCCTTGCATCCTGGAACAACGTAAGTTTTTTTTTTTTTTTTTTTTTTTTTTTTTTTTTTTTTTTCCGGTAAACATTCCTGTGCATGATTAGTTTAATGCATTGATCTTAGGTTTAAAGGAGTGTTTTATTGCTCCCCAAATTATGAATTGCTTATAAATTGTGAGATAATGATCAACCATTTAACAGAAAGAATTTTTATTCTTTTACCAAGGATTTAATACAAAAGTACAGTTGAGACAGGGAAATGTGAACTAATAAATGTTAAAGATATATTTTGTAATTCTAAATTTTCTAGCATGATTTCTGTTCAAACCTATAAAAGAGGATTTTTTGTTAAAATATTTGTGTAGTTCTGACCCAAGTAAAGTTAAATGAGTGATGTCGTCAGTGGCCTTGAGCAGAACAGATTACTTTAGCATAAAAAAATAATAAAGGGCAGCATAGCCTTTTTTAAAGTATGAATTTTCAAATTCAAATATTTATAGTTACTGTTTGTGAAAGGTGTGTATTAAACATCAAGCTCTGACTTGAGCATTATATAAGAAGAGTACTTAAATTACATGCATTTTTAAACTAAACTAGATTAATGTTGTCACTATGTTACATGAGATCAAGGTTTCTGTTTTAAGTGAATGGCATTCATTCATTTTCTTATCATAAGGAACATCAGTCTGGTCCTTTGACAGGTTATTAAATTTAGGACTAGTACATTGGGAAATTAAAAAATACTGAAGTACAAAAAATAACCCAACAAATATAAGGAAGCTGTGAAAATAATCATGGAAATTGGCCCCATGGGGAAACTGTTGTTGTGTTTATCAGCGATGAGAATGTTTAAAATCAGAATGGCAATGAAAAGTAGAAAATAAATTATGAAAAATATCATAAAATGCTTGAAGTGCAATGTAAAGTGTGTGTTATAGGTAATAAAAGTATGCTGTTGAATAAATAAATCCTTTTTTCAGATTTTGGTATTCATTGGGTGCTAAACTGTAATATGATTCATTGCAGGGCTAAATTGTGATGCTATTTAATGCAAAGCTAAACTGTGATGCTTTTTTATGCAGAGCTAAGCTGTGATGTTATTTAATACAGGAATATATGACTTAAAGCCGTTAAGTATAAATTTAAGTATAAATACGTTAAGTATAAAATAAAATATGTACAAAGAATAAAATTGCAAGTAATAACAGTTAATGTTTGGAATTTTGTGTTCAGAAATTCCGATTGATGTGTTCTTAACATTGCCAGTATTTGTGTGAGTTCAGGTTTGTATTAAATATGTGGACAAAGGGATTGATTTAAATTTCGACCTTTTTTTAACTTTTATTTCACTAATACATGTGGAATTTATGGGATATGTATGAAATTCAAATAAGGTGGAAGGGAATTCAATGCATTTTGTGTATTTATATGTAATATAACTCTCAATTTATTATTTAAATTCTTTTATGTAATATAACTAATTTATTAAAGATATTTCATGGGGAAAATATTGTTCTGCAAATTAATTGCATTGCATTTTTTTAAGACTGCGGATTTTACTGCATGTTTCTTTATATCTAGGAAACTGGTGAATTAGTATTTTCTCAAATTTTGGATTAAAAATTACTTTAATCCTAATTTAAAATGATCTGTAATATTTTTATTTTGTCCATGAACATTCATTAAAATTTATAAAACTCTGTATCCTAAATTTAATATTTAGAGTAGCTAATTTTCGTGGTATGAAAGGTATAAAAATTTCATGGTATAAAAATTACAACTATTTTGTCTTGGTTTGAATTTTCTACCATATTATATAAAAGTTTCAGTTTTCCACTCCAGAGAGATTTAAATTGTTTTCGCTCTGTGCATAAATGTGGGTGTTCAAAGATTTAAAACACAGCATATTATATAAGTTAAATTATTTAAAATGCAGTATTATATTGTAATTGTAGTTAATGGTAAGAAAACTGGTGTTTTTGAAACATTTTTAACAAATTTAAACTGAAAGCCTTCTTTCTGTAGGTAGTGTTTTATTATTAACCAGTTTTACATTGTAAAATCAAATTTGTTATAGACTGAATGAAGAAAATGAATAGAAGAAATGAGAAATTGAAATATGAGTTGGTTTGGCTTGGTCAGGGAAAAAAATGCTTTAATTAGAATGTAATTTTTTTTTTATTTTATAAACTAGAGAGATGACTGCATTTTGAGTAAAATAAGTATACATTTTTTATAGACATTTTGAACTAATGTAATATTACCTTCTATAAAACCGTAATTTTTTTTAATCTTTCTTATTTTATGTTATAGCCACTCTTTTTTTCAAGAATATCTGTTGGTAGCACATGGTTTCAATCTGGCAGTTTTGATACTTGTAGGAGTAAATGATAATTTGAATAGAAGGGCACATTTATTGTTTAGGGTGATATATGTATTTACATATTTACAGTTTAGGGTTATATCCAGCAATCTGAAAACTGTGGTTGCTAATAATTGAGTTTTGTAGTTTCTAAATCTTGTTTCATTCATGGCATATTGAGATTAAGTAGTTGAAGACTTTGACAAAAATTTAATTGATGTTTGATCCACAAGGAATTACATTTTTGATCATGACTCTTTCTTATAGCTGTTTCAACTTATTCTTAAATCCATACCTATGTGTTTCTTATATCCTGTTCAAGATTCTCTTATGCTTTTTATGCATTATGTGACATTAAATAAGACCCATAAGAGTATGTGAATTAATATTTTTAAGAAGTAGAAATAAAATATGCTATAGAAATTCCAAAATAATAAGAATCGGAGGCTATAAGTTGAATGCTGTGTAGCAGTCGTATAGTCATTTAAATAGATTTGCCTCCCTTCTCCCAAGTTTGATTTGTCTGGTCTATTTTAGTATGGTTTTGGTTACACTATTCTTACTGGAATTACTTTTAATTTATCAAGAATCTTATGATGATGAATTTACTTATTAATCTGCATCTCATGTAGTAGTGGAATTGCTATTCTATTTACTTTAAACTGTACTTGCTTTGCATCATAATTATGCAGTTGATTATGTGTAAAAAAATGCCCTTTTTAGAATTAACGTTCCATTCGGTATAAGATAATTATATTTAGCTTCATGAAGTTCTTCTAAATGCATACATCTTTTATATAAAGTAAAAATATTCTGCTTTTGTATCTCCCAACTGTTTTTTTCCCTTTGACTATGAATATAAGAGTGATGATATGTTATGCTGAATTATGACAAAAGTTGAAATGTTGATATTTTGGGACAAAATGCTATGTTAGAACCAAATCTGAAAGCTAAATTGCTCCAGAAGTATTTTGTTCAGATTGTGCATCATATTTAGAAAAATGATCATTTCATTTATTTTAGTTCAAATTTTGCTATAGAAATATCATCTTTAGATGTTTCGACTGCAAACAAATACTGCATTAGTATAATGAAGACAAGAACATTATTTACAAGGAATATGCAAAATGGAATGTGAAAATTTAGAATTATGGGCACATAAATCTTATAACTGAGATAATGTAATTGTAAGGATAAAGCTGCATTTATATTAATTGTAAATTGTTTGTTCTCTTTGTAACCTGGTAAATGATGTACATTCTTGTTGCTCAGGAAGAGTCTTTTTAATGTACAAAATATTCTGTGTTGAAATGTGATATTCAGCGTTATTGAACGAGATCAGTGTTTTAGAAATTATAATTAATTTCTTACAAGACTGGCATTTTCAAAATGCAAAAACTATTCTGATAACACTATATGTTGCTTCTGAACTCTTTCAATTTGTAAAACATGTTATTAATTATGATCTGCTGTAATTTTAATAACATCATGGCACAGTGGCCAGGTTATGTTTTATAATAAAATCACAAAAGTATTCTTTGACCATTATTTGATGGATGCAACGTAAATTTAAACATACAGAGTGTAATTTACAACTAGAACACACCCACAAAACAATGAATATAGAACAACTGAATACTGTCACATCAAAAATACAAACATCATAGCACTTCTTCTCCCCTTCCCCCTAAGTGTAGTAGTTTGCAAAACTTTTTTCTTACAGTATGTTGATGTGCTTTCATCTTAATTTCAAGTTGAAGATCGTGGGATTGTTCAATAATAGTAAGTTAAATAGCAGAGCACAATTTATGAATTTCAACAGGACCATATATGTAATCTGGGTGAGGGATTGTTGATGGACATCTGTGATGCATTTTATTGATATGTAGTCTCACAGTTGCACCAACGGGAGTCTAAACCTTGTATGACATAGGACTTGTATGCTGTTCTGTAGATGGTGTCCATATTTGCCCTTTTGATATTTGTGAGTATAAGCAGGATTGTTTTGACTGAAAGATTTCAGTTTGGGACTGAAAGGTCTTTATTTTAAAAGGATCTTTGGTTGGTGGTTTCTAAGTCGGATGCATAATATTCAGATCTGTAGTTGATCTTAGATGCTTTAATAATTTCAAAGATACTAAACATGTAGAGTTTGGTAGTGTGATATGCTGTCTCAGCAAGAAATTAGCTGTAAAAATTTACAAATTTCTCCATAATATGTAGTTCAGAGAATATTTTGTAGACTTTAATATCTTTTATCTTTGATTATTTGCAAATGGATTATATGGTGCTGTAAAACCAGGTTTAAAGGAATGAAATTCTTATGAACATTGTGTGCTGTTTCAATGGATAACAAGTATCTCTTTACTCTCTAGTTGTGGTTGTTAATGAGATTGATGACATATGCTTAAATTCCAATCTTTTTCATGCTGAATCAACTACAATTAAGAAATTTTGACCTTAGAATGGTCCAGCAAATTCAGTATTTAAAAAGGACCTTAGAGAACATGTAACATCCCTAGGTGAATTATTCTAATACTATGGTCAACAATAACCAAATATAAGGTTAGAATAACCAAATCGCTTTTTTTTTCTTCCTGTTCATTGAGTTATCCTTTCTTTAGTGTATGAGTACTTCGTTGTGCTTCTATATTAGGTTGTCATTTGTGGGA